CATTGTTTACAGCCGTTAATCGTATCTGTTCGTGGGATTGATAACACGATTATTAATTATCGCGGACCGCACACACGTAACAGTATCGAAATTCTCGTGCTTATGCTTTTGTGTTGGTGGTCTGATGTCATTTAGTTGATCATAGAAGTGTAACATTGTGATTGGAGATATAGGGCGGAGAGCAGATACGAACGAAATGTCTTTTGGTTATGCGATCCTTTCGGTAACTGATACGAAAGTAGCACGTTTGAAAACATCGAGGCAAGCTTTTCGGAAATCAGTTTCGTCTTTCTGTCTTGTTCTGAATTTCGATTGGAAACGAGAACGAGAAATTAGCAGTGGTACGGTTGTAACGAAGGAAATTTACGTAAACAATTTTTCAACTGGGAATCTCTTGTTCCAGTGATGATCAGATCAGTTTTAGTCCCTTGAATAAAACATAAAAACTGAATGAAGACAAAGAGATTTCTAAATGAAAATATTACTCTGAGAAAGTTAACTTGCTGTCTTCAGGTGGAGTCAAACGATTCTCTGCTATCGTGCGACGTAGACAAGACGTTGGAGACGCTGCGAAGACGAAGAAGAACCGAGCTGGATCTTAAGAATCTAAAGATCTTGCCGGCAAGTAAGATCAGCCGGGGCAAGGTGAACGAAATGAAAAGGACAAATCAATCGGTTCTTCTCATTTCGTCTAGCAGCTTTAAGCTGGTGACGTCACGTTTACTCTCGCCGCGTACAGAAGGTGGAGAAAGGGAAGATTTGGCGACGCCAGCATCTTTCGCTTCTGATGACGGTGTAGGTTCGCAGTGTGGTTGATGACGCGGCACATAGGTTATATCCGTACCTACGTATAGCCATGTGGAATTCGCGCGTTTATAGATGTCGATGCATGGCCACACCACGAAAATCACGACAGTGTTACCGATCCATATTCACCGAATAAACGAACGAACGAACGAACGAAACCCGCACTAGGACGCGGAACTAAGGAGATCACGAAGACGATCCACCTTGACCCAGTCTCGTCAAACGACCGATCGACGATCCACGGTTCGACACGTGCATCGAATTTTCTTAGCGGTCATTGACACCCAGACGATTTAAATTATAGTTAGTTACACTTATAATATACCGATTTAAACGTGTACTTCGAGATGATCTCAGGTGTTCAAGCATTACTGACAAATGATTTGCAAAAGATCGAAATAGTATACTCGGAAAAATTAAACGATTTTAAGGGTGAAAACACTCCTCCAAAGAAATTTCAACTTTTCGTATTTATACGTATTTTCGTTAATACTTGGATACTTTAAGGCAATGTTAAAATTCTTTAGAAATCCCCGAGGGGTAAATCAGAAAATAGCAACTTTTTACTGCGTTCTCCGATCGTGCTTCGATGAAATCGCGACGTTATGTTAATGGAGATAGTGTAATGACCCTGAAGAATGTCACCGTGACCCAGTCGGACAGTTGGGTCGTCAAACAAAATCGATACTCGCTAATCAGATCAAACCACCCTTCTTCTATCTCCTGGATGACCACGTACACAACTGTGTGCCTCGCTTGTGAATACTTTACACTACTGTGTTTGAACGCGTTGATTCTTCTTTAAGAAACGGATCTCCACTAATCTTGTCGCATCACTACGATAATCTCTTCAAAATCCTTCCACGTTTTGCCAATAGTAATTTTTATTTGATTTTATGTTACATACTATTATAAAACTCATTTTCAATTTCGATATCTGCCACTTGCAAAGTATTTTTAATATTTCTAATACTTTGAAGAAAGATATGAGGCATTTACTTTCTACTTTTAATAAAATCAACTCTTTTATTATTAAATTGTATATTTATCTCTTTCGAACAATATACAGATCTTCAATTATTCGACACATGTATTTACTCACAACGATCCACGATCTTCATTTAGATATCAAATCATCCACATCTGTCAGTATCCCAATACACTGATATTAATCCAATTACCAAGCAATTTCCAATTCAAATCACCCGGAAGCAAGTGACGAGACAATCGACCATAATTGACCATTCATCAACCATGGAACTCGATTGTGTTGTATCGTTTCGAAAGAATAGAACAAACGGGCTAGATATCGTTCGCTTCTGTCCTTGTCCGATCGATGGTCTTTTCTCCATTCCTTGTCCTTGGTCGTTGCGTGAAACATACGCTGGACCTTACGGCCGTCTTCCGCCCGTAAAGGGGACGAGGGAACGACTAGTTCCTTCCTAGGCGTATACCGACGCTGATTTAGTGAGATCCGATCTGCGAGTGGAGACCAGAGACCGATCAGTTGCCCCATAAATATTAGATGTTTTTTTGCCACGCATACAGAGACGCGTATGCCACGTTCGTTCCTCCTTTTCCTCCTGCAGAAGCAAAGCTAACCATCTGACCGTGAGAGTCAAAAGCTAAGCGACCAAGCTCCCTCTACCATCTGTCTTTCTTTCTCCAAATTTCTTTCAATTCCACGGGACGCGGCTGAGAATTTATCCTTTGTACCACTGATAACCCTTTCGATGTTTTGTTCTATTCTCTTGGTCGATGGTAGTAGAAACATGGTGGTAGACTTGGACGAGTTTGATGTTATCAAGTTAACTTTTCCTGAAGTTTACCTCCGCGATATTACGGTTTTGTTACGGTGTTATTAAACAGCTACATTTTATATGTTTATTGTGGGATATAGAAATGAAAGTTCTGCTTCGGAAAATAATTTTCGTAGAAATTTACGAATGATTTACAAGAGTGAAATAATAAAATAAAAGGTATTTCCTTTTATTTTCGATACAATTTCCCTAAAATTCAATGAGTCTATATACGAAATTCCATACTGTCGAAAGACCTTCTATCGAATCATCGAAGTCATCCGAGTGCCTTCTTCTCTTTACGAAATCTACAACTTCTACGAACGAATATTCATTTGAAGATAAACGTATCACGCCCGGGACAGATTTACAAGATTACATCGCGCAATCTAACTTTCAAATTTAAGAGAAAATTCGAATGACTTGGTCGGGGAAAAATATACAGAGAAAGGAAGCGGCGGCTAAAATTGAGGCAGAGCGTAGAAATAGGGCTGTTTCATTTCACGAAGCTCCAAGCAACCCGACCCCCTTTTCAGCTACTTATCAATTATAGTTATTATAGGACGTTTGGCAAATGAGGAGGCGAGGGTGGTGGTAATAGGTGGCCCGTTTCCGAGGCGCTAGCTTAACTACACTTTTATAGCGCTTCTCGACTTTAAACGGATAATTTTTATCCGCTAAGCCTCCGCCGTTGGATTCCAACCTCCCCCTGTCACTGGGGGGGGGGAGGGACGGAGGGGATAACTATACCGCCCTTGATGTCCCGAGCGACCCCTCATAAAATTAAGTCAAACAGCTACGGGGTGCCGGCACTCGTTTTTCCCCGTTCCTGTTAAGAGGAACGCATCGAGCCGGCGCTGGTTGCGGCGGCCAGAAGGAAGGGTGAGACTCCAATTGCTCGGGGTGACGTTGATGACGCCCCCGCTAAAAGTCACCCGGCGGAATTCTAAAGAAATTATACATTTTCTTTTTCCCTTTTTTTTTGCGATGATCGTAACTTCGCAGAAGTAACGGAAGAAAAATTGCTTCTTCGCGCAGCTTCTTAGTAATATCATTTTATTGTCAAAGTAGCGTCATTTTTATTAGTATAATTAAAGTCTAGAATAGCTTTATTAAAAACTAAAATTTGGATAATTGGATAAGTCTTTTTGAGTAGAGTAAACTTAGATTGAAATTTCTTTTCGATTCGAGATTTCCATCGTTCACCTAAAGGAATTTTATAACATATTTAAATTATATACGCATCGTACACACTTTTATAATACATTTGCATACACGCTACGAGTTACCTCTCGCTGTTAAATGTATACCTAAAGCTTGTAAATAATATAAATATACAAGGGAACAATTGCTAGAAAAAGAAAAAGAAGGTTGGCGAACATCGACTCTTGAACTTGAAGTTCGGAGGAGCATCGCGAACGTTCTTTCCCGTCCGGTCAAATGGAATTACTTTTATCGTCGTGGCAGACGACGATTCGATTCACGGTCGTTCATGCGAGTCACAGAGTTCGGGGAGGACCGGGCGTTGCGCGCCGCGTTTCGCTAAAGGCAGATTTGATCGTGTTTTCCGGCATTACGCCGGTGTGCAACTCCTTCTTTCCTTCCTTCCTTCCTTCGTTCTTTGCCTCGGCGCGCATCAATCACCAGTCATCAGCGTGATTGACGAGTGATATCGTTAACGGTTTTAAGACCCTTCGAGAAGCGCGTGCGATCCGCCAGATGATCTCGTTAAACGTCACCCTTGCGACGACACGCGTATTACTTCGATCTCGTACTTCTGTCGCGGTATTGCGACGACGTATCTTGTATTTAGCGTGATAAACTGTGACTTTGCTAAAAGTTGGAATACTCGGAGAATGTCTCACTCGAGGTGAAACATTTAAGTTAGTTCTTCTTATTATCGTGGAATATTGAAGGAATGACTTCTGAAGTGAAGTTATTATTAGACGCAGAAGAATGTAACATGGATTTGTGTGAGTATTTGATATTTTGTTTCGCGTTAATGCCTGCTTTTTTCATAATATGATGTACCGGATCAATGATCTTCTCTGAATAATACTACGACATCGTACTTCCTTCTTCACACTGATTCTGTACACTTCTCCCGAAAAAATAGTAGCTGTTTTCATTTTTAAAACAATTTATTCAAGTGTTCAAGCGTTCAAAAAGTATAATAATCGCAATACAATACTGTATAAAGTAGCCGACATAATATTACATAACAAATTCAAGTGTCAACTTCAATATGAAAAACGAGCAATTATTATCAAATTTATTGTAGAATTTTGCACAACTCTCAAACACTAGAAATATTTGCCTAATTCCAGTTCTTCCAAAATTGACTAATTTGTAAGTGGCAAAAAGTATCTAGCAACTAACTTTCATATCGGGAGAATGACCGTATTTCAAAGTGTTGGGAGGACCATATTCTCGCGAAGAGGCCGCTGGAACACGTTGCTCGACGAAACGGTTAGTAGAGCGGCTCGTGGGGGTGGTGACCAGGGGGGTAGCAGTTCTCGCGCCGTCGCTCTCCATGAGGTTCCCATGGCACAGGGAAATACCTATCCAGTTGTAGGGTTGGCCTCGTACTCCTCGTTGGAATCGAGGCGCTTGCCATCGGTGGCCCCGCCTACTCGCGATACAACCTTCAACCCTCACACACCCCCAATGGCCAGTTATTATTATCATTGTGCCAGAGCGGCGTGCCTGTTCCACCTTCGTCCTCCTCCACCTCTCGAGGATGTTCAACCTCCTCCGCGCCACGTCGAGCCACGTCGAAGTCACTCTATGCGTCCAAGTCCTTTTTTGTAGAATTCCACCGGCCTCGTACTAAAGCCGTACGTTGTGTAAACACACGGAGGGTGCTTCGAGGCCGGGGGCAAGCTACGTTTTCCGGTTTATCTCGGCGGCACGTATCGTAGACCATCGCCGAGGGGGAAGCGACCAGGTACTATACGCCTGCGGTATTATTCGTTTCGCGTGTAAAATTTGTGGACATGCATGCTCAACTCGAGGTGTATTCTCGATCGAGAATTTTTCTAGAATTTAGGTAAAAATTCGAAAGATATTTTTATAGGGATGAAGAAACGCCTTAGAAAATTGTGATAAACTTTCCTTTTTTTGTTTGTGGATATTTCTATCTTGGAAATTCTGGGCTCCTAGATAGATAAATGAGAGAGAGAAATTCAAACTTCAGCTAGAAATTCAAACTTTCATACGAATGATTTCTTTTTTCATATCTGTGGACGAAGAAAATTTTAGCGATGATCTTTAAGAAAGATAAAAAGTTTCAGGAAAAATTTTGACGGACTGATTCTTTTACTTTTCAATCTCTGTTTTTTTCTTTGTCGAGTTATGAAAGTTGGAAATTATACGGAAAATGTAATTGGCTTGCAGGCATCCCTTGCATCCGTTCGACTAGTGAGCTTCACCCACCGTTCTGAACTGTACGAGGGTTAAATGTCCCGGCAATGATTTACAGGAACGAGAAGAGAAAGATAGAAATCTATGCCCAGTGCATTCATCAACGTGATAGACACCAAGTGGTCGTCTCGCGTTCACGCTTGCATAACAGAATTCTGGATTAGTGCCTAATAATGCAATAATTAAATGAAACTTTCAAATTAATTGAAAGATCAATGATCAAGAATTAATTTGAATTTATTGAATTCGACTTTATCATTCTATTATTAATTTCACTAACCGTTTTAAACCGATCGTACAGATATCCTACGAATAACAAATTGCGAAATTAAATAACACAGTAAAAAATTTGAATGATTCCTAGGTTAACTATGAAATACCTCACTAAAGTTAAAAGTTATATTAATTCACTAATAATACTGTAACTCAAAGTCAAATACTCAAAGTCTGTATAAAATCTAATACAAAGTTTGTGTTATAAAATTTAATTCTCAGAGAACGTGGACCCGGTTAACCGCGTCTATACGATAAAGGAGAATTATTTACACGTAATGGAAATCGCAAGAAAAAAACCTCTAAAGCAGTGAAGTGAAATGGCACAAGCTGCGGAACATCTGCACGACACACGCAGGGACAATATGGACCACGGAGCTCTTTAGCATTTTTATGCGAGCTGCTGCTGACAGTTTATTTTATTATATAGCTAGGCTGCTGCCCATCGTCCATCCTGCAGGAGAATTCATAAGTCAAGTCCTACACAACTTTGGCGCGGGCGAGCCCATTTGTTCGCGGTATCTTACGACTGTCGATACGGATGATCGATTAATCAAGCTTCTGTGCCTGATTCAAGAAACTTTATCTCAATTTTTTTCAATCGGCATTTTATATTAAACATATTTTCATATTTACACTCTTTCTCGTTTATTAATGCGTTAATGATCAAATAGTACGTCGTATACAGTAGAGATAGATTTAAGTAGAAATGCACCGTCAAGTCAGACGAACCCAAGTAGTGTTTCTCAATCTATCTAACGGAAATGTCCCAAACATTCAAATTTGTCGCGAGCTGTCGTTTCTTTTTAAAAGTGTGACAGTTTTCTGGTACTTTCAATCACATAATTAATCACTTATGTATCTCAGGGGAGAAACAGACGATCACATGTACAGACTGATAAATTTCTAAAATATTTCAAACATATTCGATCGACATTGATAACATCCATTTCTCTTAAAATTACCCAACGAGGAATTCGCCTAAACCGCCCAAAAACGTTACACGCGCGTCGATAGCGATACAGAACCCCCGTGTTCCGTTGATCGACAACGGAATTTACGAGTAGGAGACAGTCTATCGACGCTCCTTCCACCGATTTCGTGCAAAGTACCCTGCAGAGGCTAGCCCGGTGTCCCGTGGACTTGCACTCGATTAGCATGACAACGCGTAGTCGGAGAAGTAGTTTGTTGCTCGCCTTTTTTCTCCCGCGTGTGCGCGCGTGGTCTACGGGGGATGATTCGAGGGTCGACCACGAGCGAGAAGAAGGAAAGAAGAGAGGGGTGGCCGGCTGTCAGGCAGTATTTTTTATCTAGTCACGGTCAACTGGCTGATCGGCTCGCCCGCCTATTATTAGCGCAGCACACAAACCTTGCCTCGGAGTCATGGCTGGCCATTGTGAACGCTGCGTGTTCATATATACAGGGTGTTGAAGAAGAAACTCGACAATACTTATTAGATACTGGATTCTAAATATCGAGACGATGAGGAACAATTGAGTCACGGAGAATATAATTTTCATACCAAGGATACATTAGAATTGCTGTTACTAAATCAGCTGATGTGTGATCTTTTTCGACAAACGACAATGTGGCTGTTACAGTGCGAAAATTCATTAATTTTCTTCAAAGTGGGTATAAAGTGTTGCACGAAAT